GGTCTATCCCTAATAATTAATGGAGCCAGAAAGGAGATAGCTGTTTCCTGCATGCCCTGCTTGTGGGCTTCTCAGAGAATTCTGGCTGACTGCTATTAGTAATAAACGCTAGTTAACTGAATGTATCTGATCCAGCAGAACCGACATCATGTTCTTTACTCAGGAGCAAAGACTGAAAACAAAAATTAAACAGCAAAGACCACTTTTCAACAGGGATTGTCTTGCTTTAAAACAGCCTTTCCTCACCTCGGTACCCTCAAGATGTATGGTGCCCTTCCTAGAACTTCCAGCCAGCACAATTACTCCTTATCCTTCTTGGCTGGGAATTTGGGAAGTTGCAATCCCAGCATATGCAAAGAATGCCTGGCTGGGGAAAAAATTACTTAAACCTTGAGTCTCAGGAAGTAGGCAGTATATAACATTTTAAATAAACAAACAAACAAACAAACAAGCAAACAAGCAGGCAGGCAGGCAGGCAGGCAGACAGACAGACAGACAGACAGTAAGAGTTCTGTTGATAGCTGGGGAAACACAGAGAATATTTTTTAGCTAATCCTTTCTTCCCCACCAAACAAAATAATTCAGTTTTAATTTTAGCTCAAGTAGAGATATCTTTAAAATGGAAGATGCAGAAATTGCACAGTGCAGCAGAAGTAGTCAAACAACTCTAGTGAAGATTTAAGATGGCAAGACAGCAGCCACCCAACGTCCCAAAAGTATGCAAAGACATTTACAGCAGAGCCTTGGAAATTAAGTTTTAAAACAGATACAGTATGCCACAAAACCAAGAAGAGTAAAACACTAAAAAGCCTTCTGTTTTACTTGTGCAGCATGGTTTGCTATCTCCTCCACCTTGTGTGAAGAACAGAAGAATGGCAATACTAGACAAGCTAAATTTCTTGGTATTCCAGAACAGGAACAATGCAGATAGATTCATGGAATTATAAAGAGGCACAATGCATCTGAAGGCTGTTCACAGAAACAATACAGTTTCAGTGGCCAGAATTGTAAATATTCATTGTTAGCTTTGATGTCCATTTTGCAAAGAGATCCCACTCCCAAGTAAGGACAATTCTTCTGCAGTCTGCCTGGGAAATCAGAACAGAGTAAGACTGGAATAACCAGCTGAGCAGGATTTCTATGCGAATGTGAAGATTTCTTCCAGCTACTACTAAAAAGTATCTGAGTGATACCAAGGAAAGAGAAGAATAGGACAACCAGCAGCAAGGTAGTTGGACTCAGTTACAGTGGCAATGGGTGCACCACTGGAAGACCTGAAAGACCAAGTTAGGGGCAGATAGTCATAGAGAAAATCTATCTATGTGGTCACTAAGAGTCAACAACTTGATGGCACATAATTAATCGCTTGAAGAACACAGAACTGTCAAAAAGAAGTTCACAAATAATCAGTATATGAAAGCAACTCCAAGTATTTGACAACACTCCCATATTCAGATGTGGGGAGAAGATGGGTTCATTTTCTTGGAAGACAGTATCATATCTTCCATTGTATCTACACTGTAGATCAGTGGGTAAAGTGTGGTTTGGGGAAACTTACTCCAAGATTCAAAATTCCAGATACCTAGAACCAATGTCCTTTGCAAATATGCCTGTGCAATCCTACTTCAGAGTCTGGATTTGTACAGACACAAATATCTCCTATGTTGAAGTGCACAGAAATCACAAAGATGATCAGAGATCTATCAGCAAAACAATGATGTATTCCTCCATCTGCAAAAGACTGCTATATTGACCTATATGTCTCATCTTTCACATATGCTTGGAAAGATCAGGCATCCTATATTGAATGAAGGAGAACTGAAGCTCTAATGATAAATCTATGGTTGCTCGTGTGGCCACATCTTCCTCAAATGACAGATATATATGGGTCAGATGGGTAAAGTTTAAACAGGCATATGAAAGATTCCTAAACTGCAAAGTATTCCTACATTTCAGAACTTTATACTGCAGGTTTTCCCTTGCTCCTCCCCATACTGCTACAGAACATCTGACTGGAATGAAGACAAAGCCAGAAAGCTCAGAAACAACAACTGATACTGTTACAGTAATAACAATAACTAGAAAATACCTGCGTGCACATGGGAGCACTTAGCCAAGATAACTCAGCCCCTACTCTTTACTTTCAGCAGTATTAGTTTTTGGTAACCCATAAACTGGGATTATTTTGGCCCATGCTGGTGGAATTTTATTTATTTAACTATTCAAGCTTTAGGTCACTTGGTCAAAGATTCAGGGGCCCTGCTCAGGAAAAAAAAGTCCTTGTACAATTTTTT